ATAAGCAGAAACAATATCAAGTGTAGCAACGAGCGTACAGCACTATGGTAAACATTTATAAATGTTTTTCAATTTGCACTCTAACCAATTACATTAAAGTCGAAATTGGTCGTGTTATTAGATCGGTTGGGGACACAAAATGTAATGCGGTCACTGCAAATGACTTTGGACTTAATTTGGTTTGGCACAAGGTGCACCTAAACTGTGAGGTTGTGGTTTGCAGTAGTGAAGCGAGAGTTTGAACAAATTCAAACAAAGACGATGAAGCAAATAGAGGCTGTAAAGGCATTTGGGCAACTGTTTGGAATGATTCCGGCGCTGCGGCGGCGAATGTGTGTTTTCAGCTTTAATATTGCAATTGTTTGAGGACGCTTCAGATCAAGAGTTTTCGCGGAAAAGCCGATATTATTTAAATACGAAACAGTGGGTTCTTGCAGAGAAAACTTCACTGCGATAAATGATTAATTTCTGCATTATTGGAGTTTTCGGAACTAGGAACTTTGCGTGTTTACAGAGCCCCACAGATTTATTTATAGATTACGATTGGTTTACGAAATTATTTCAATTCTATGAACATTTTGTAGAAATTAATTAGGTACAAAATTTATAATATTCGAAACATTGATAAAGACACATTTACTTTCGGCCGTTTGGTGTAGTGGTTCGAAACGGACTACTATTCCGGAGGTTGCGGGTTCGATTCCCGCACAGTACAAACATTTGTGTGCATGAACATATTTGTTTGTATTGGACTGGGTGTTTTCTATGTATAATAAGTATGTATTTACAAAAAAAAAAAAAGTATTTAAGTATGTTTATATCCGTTCTCTAGTACCCATAGTACAAGCTTTGCTTAGTTTGGGACTAGAAGCGCAGTGTAAATTAATGTTCAAGGATATATTTATTTATTTTATTATTTATTTACTTATTGATAAAGCCAGATCCAATTAGGCAGTGTTTATTACTTAATTGGAGTAGTACGTATCATGCAATCATGTGTAGAGCATGAATAAAGCCCAAATCGCTTTAACACGTAGCAGTCCATGCGAGTAGCACCATGTCAGAATTGAGCAAGATTCAAAGAGCTATTATNGTGTGTAGTTTTAAAATCATTTTCCCCAATGAACACAATACAATAATCGTTATGTGTAAAATGTTTTAACTTTGGTTCTAATACACTTAACATATTGAGAATACTAGCATTTGTGTACAAGTAATGACAAACTTCGGTACAGGTATCGGGAAAATGATTTTCGGAAAATTTCAAAATGTTATTTCTATTATTACTATTAACAATACAGATCTTCTTCTTAGCAAGCCGGTTTTGAAAACATTTGATCCCTTTGTCTTCTTTCTGTGTTTGCACGAATTCAGTTACCACAGATTGTTCCATTGCTGTAGGATTCGTTTTTATATTTTTTTTGTTAGACGACTTATTACTACGAGTTTTATTATGCTGTAGTTCGTCTTTCTTGGTAATTGACTCATTTGTACTCTTTGTGTTTTGTCTTGTTTCTAGATTCATAATTGTGGTTTTAAGAAGAGTGTTTTCCGTACTTAGTCTTTTTATGTTTTCATTCGCAAGGTCGAGATCCTTTTGAAGTTGTTGTACATGCTTTCGAAGTTCATGAAGTTCACTACTGTCGATTGATAACTCAGGATAACTAGTACTGCTTTGATCGACAGCTTCTTCCAATAATTCTATTGGATCCATAAGGTTTGACTTTTTCTTACGTATCGTGACGTTGCTTATTTGCGAGTCATTGTCAAAATCATAGTCTGGTTGGTCTGGTCCTGTAATATTCATTGGACTATCTCGTCTTAAAAGCATGGTTCTAATTGGAGTATTGGTGTTGTCCGTTCTTGGTTGTTTACTTACGCATTCAATGCATTTCCAATTTAACTTGCCTTCCTTTGACATCAATGTAAACAATTTGTAAGTAACATTTGCACAGTCTAGGTCGTATTTATTTTTACAAAGTTTACATATCAAATAATCTCTGTTCGATATAATATTTGGACAACCGGAACATTGATACTTTGTGGTGGACATTTTTGTACCAAAATAAAAACATAAACAACAACCAAAAATTTCTTGCAATGTGAGATTTGAACCGGGGACTTGTCGTCTGTAGCCCAGTCCACCACCGTGTTAGCCAAGTGTTTAATGACGTTAGCTTCGAAATTTCGCTTGACTTAAAATCTTGCAATACGTTCAAATGGTGGTGTTCGTTATTGTGTGATTCATTACGTTGCTTTTGCACACTTGTTTTTCACTAGTGGGTGGGTATAACACAATTAAGAGGATATATTTAGTTCTAATATTGATAAAAGGCACTATTATAGTTTTGTTTCACTGTTTTTCGAAATTCACTGAGAGGATTTATTATGTTCAAGTATTTGTTTGTTTGTTTACATTATGTAGGAAGCACTTTTTGTTCGTTCACAATTTTACTTTTAACACATTTGTTTCTTTTTATTTTACTTAGATAACACTTTCACCACTGTATATTATCCGCTTCTTTATATGTATACCATTTTCGACGAGAAAGAACTATGTTTAGTATTTTTAAAATAGTAAATATACGGAGCGCGATCTAAACGTGACAGCAGCGCCATCTCTTGTCTGTAGCATTATTTGGCTACTAATTTGACAAATAGGCATGGGTTATATTAAGTTCGTTCGTTCGTTCGTTCGTTTCAGCCAAATGACGTCCACTGCTGGACAAAGACTATAATTTAGGTTTATATTTAGTACTTTATTTTTTTCCTTGTGTGCCGGCTCGAGTACAGAAGATAAGTTCCTTTTACATTAACAATATGACAATTGGCTTGTTAAATATCTATACTTCTATATCTATACTAATACTAGCTGACCCGGCGAACTTCGTACCGCCTTAGCGTAGAGATTTTCTTAATATTTTTTTCCGTAAGAACCATCCTTGGACTTCCACAAACATTTAAAAAAAAGAATTATCGAAATCGGTTCAGCCGTTCACACGTGATGCCGTGACAACGCGAAACGGGTTTCATTTTTATATATATAGATTATAAAGCTGAAGAGTTTGTTTGTTTGTTTGTTTGTTTGTTTGTTTGGTTGAACGCGCTAATCTCAGGAANCCATCTCTCCACGTTAACGTTAATAATTGTAAACTTACTTTAAACTTCCTTTGATTCACTTAACTCACATTACTTTCTTCACCCTGGAGGAATCACTGTCATCTAAGATACAGGTTTAATCCTAGTTTAGTTGGCAGGAACATACTTAAGATTAACACGATTGTCAATCGTAGTTTAAGTAATTAATACATTGTACAATATTGTAACTCGTCATCTTCTTGGTTATTAAATAAATTATTATTAAAAAAAAAGTTCTTCAGTCTCTACCAGGAAAATAGACAATTTGGCCTACACTCCCCACGCTGATCAGGTTGAAAAAATCTAAGAATATGTGAATCCGAATAAAATCGGTGGGTATTTCTCTGCCATTAATTATTCTACGCGTATTATATTTTGTATGCTATTTATAGATGGCTGAACTTAAATTCGCACAGCCTCGACCTAAATGAAACATTTTTAAAGCAAATGAATCATTATTTCATTAATAATGATTATAAAATAAAATAAAACAAAATATTATCTCTTTCGGCAAACATTTTGACATCACAAATTGAAACTTTTACACAGACAAGCTGAAAAATTGTCGCTGTAGATATTATTTACCGTCGTGTATTCAGCTCCTTGAAAGGCTCCGGAGCCAGTGGCCATTCTTCGATGGGCTGTTGAGATAGATGCTACCTACATAATGGCTTCATTTATATCGAACTTCTTCATTTTTATCGAGCTTCTTCACTTCAATGACACTTAGAAGGCAATTTATAAGAAAGGGAATAGTAACAATGACTGATAGTTTATTGAAGTGCCAATCAAATCAAAATCAAAATTATCTTTATTAATTTGTGTAGAAAAATTAAATTACTTACAAATAATCAAATTCTCTTAAGGAACCTATACAAGTCTCACTCTTTTTTGCCCTACCAGAGCTTCGAGACAAACATTTGGCAAGTGCTGAAAAGAAGGGCCGCAAAATACTCAATCACCACTGTCTGCCAGTTTATAATAATTAGAACTACATCCCGCTTATTAATAAAAGTTACACCATAGTTGAACCCTGTTTTAAAGTGACGTTTAGAATGGAAATGTGTATTTTTAAAACAGTGTTCAATTAGGGTGTAACTTTTTATTAATAAGGGAGTATTTGTACAAATAATAATAGAGTTTCTAATATTATGTAGGACTAGCGGCCGCCCGCGACTTCGTACGCGTGGATCCCGTTTTACTCCCTTCATCTATCTTACACGGTTAAGATTTTTTCATACAAATGTTTTTTCCCGCTAACTCCCGTTCCCGTGGGAATTTTGCAATATCCTGTTGTAACTAAGCTTCAAANAGTTCCCTACCGGCACGTTTTTTTTCTAACTTGACGACGTTTTCTATTCACCTGTGTGCAGCAGCAACTTCCGTAGATTTTTTTGGAGTTATTACTTGTCAAATTTCATTTTCATGCAGGCAGAACTGTTACTTAGATATTATAGATTGTAACAAGTCCAAACTTGCACGGAAAGTTAGGTTTGTATTCTAATTTTCCGTATTTGTTTATGGCAAGTCGGTCAAATGGACGAAAACAGGAGCTGGACGGAAAACCGGCGCAATTAGCTAGTTTTCATTTGAATGTACGAGTTTTCCACAGGTGGACCGACGACCTCATAAAGGTTTCAGGAAGACGCTGGATGCAGGCCGCTACCAACCGGCCATTATGGATATCATTGGGGGAGGCCTAGGCTTGTCCATTACCTATCGCCAATGCATAAGGAGACATCTGCTTTAAAGGCACACTTATCAATCCGGAAAGGGATCAATACGGTTATGATCCGTGTCCTGGTCGATAACAGTGCTTCGTTCTTTATGGTTGGTTTCAACTGATCGGAGGGCTAAGAAATAAAACGCACCATTTTGGCTGTTGCTTTTATAATAAATACATAGTTAAATAAAAAGAATATTTCTCATCTTTTAGGTAAATCATATCGATACAATTGGGTAGTTGACACTAATTACCGATAATAACACGACACCACTTAGCTTTAGTTATCATTGCTAACTCAAGGACGTAGCACACTTATCAACACGGACAGGGATTGTAACCGTATCAACTCGATGCGATCAGTATTTGTATGAAACTCCATACTGTAACCCACACCTATCCGCACAGTAACGTAAACGCCTCGCCTCGCAGTTGACAGTTGACAACGCGGGAAAGGCGATGATAGCTCGTCATGATCCCTTTCCGAGTTGATAAGTCTGCTATGACCTTTAGATTCCCTCTACTTTGCAAAATGTGAAAAATAGGGAATGGTGCGTTTTGACAGTTTGAAAAAAGTATGTCAATTGACTGTGCTGTCAAATACCCAATTGATTGCTTGCATTTCGTTATTATTTGTTGCAGTCATTCTCGCAAGCAGCCTGACACTCCTCTAGAGTGTTGTAACGGTTGCCGTTGCCGTCACATCCTCCGTAGATGAACTGTTTGCATCCTTCCAAGTCAGTATCGTAGCCGAAACTGGAAAGAGAGGAAGGAAGTTAATATTTATCAATTATACAGTGTGTTAGGTCAGGTTAGGCAAGCATTTCCTCATGTTAAAAAAAAGGTTAGGTTAGGCTCATATACCTATTTACCTAACACCCTGTAGAGGGTGGAATTTTGTATTACCACCTGCCCCCCTAGACAAAACGCACTTTTTGATCGAATCGAAAATCGAATCCGTCAAAATTCCATACAAAAAAGGGGCTTTTCGACTGGTTTGCGATTATAATTTGCACTTTGTCTAGACCCACTCAAAGGAAAGTATAGTTCCAAAATACTGAACTGTCCTATCCATGACATTGACAGTGAGGCGCCACCGTCAATACCGGATCGCTGGTTCCGATTTTTGCCATGTTGGAAACCATAATATAGTTGAACGATGGTAGCGTTGGTGGGACAGTTCAGCGTGGGTCATCTATACTCTTAATACTGTAGATAGAAAATTTTATATTCTATGTTCGATTATTTACTAATGTAAAAAGGTCTTACAAAATTTTAAGAAAATAATTATTTTAATAAGGAAAATAAAATACTTACGCAACTTTCCTGCCTCTGCATGGTCCGGTCTCAAGAGGCGAGGTGCAGTCTGGGGCTGGGGCTGTATAATAAAATAAAAACTTTTTTTTTCATCGAACCTTTTGGCGGGAAAGTGAAACGTCATGCACCTAATGCATAGAGCTATAAGAGTAGGCGCACACCGTTGATTTTTAGTTGGCCGATAGTTGTGCCCGATTTCAAATTGTATGAAGAATCGGTCAAATCGAATCGGCGTAGTGTGCGCACTCCCATACATGCCCATACTGATCAACAGCCCGACTAAACTATTTTTGTATTTTGGAAAGAATTAAAACTAAAGTTCGCTACAGCTGCTGCATTAGTTTTGTTGTCTAACCAAACATTAAAACATGCAGCGCTAGATCCGCTTGTTCTCAACGAGTCACCCACCACACCCAATCGAGTATGTAATTGGGAAAAATATTCCATTTAGTCACACTGTTACTCGTTCGAACATTTGTACCTATCTTCCCAAACGGTCACACATTAAGTACCTTTAATTTCAGAATAAATTCGTTAAAAAACAGTGAACAAAATACTGACATTAAAAATCAAAATATTTTTTCTAAGGTTTACTGTCAGAAAATACAGGTTTTAGTGTGACCGGCAGGGAATATAAGTAAAACAAAAAATAACAATCGTTCATTTATTTCGATGACCTTTATGTCCGTTTTCACCATCAATCCCTAATTTTTAAGTGACCCCTATGAAAACAAAATTCCTGTATGTGTTGTGTTACCATAGGGATCACTTAAAAATTAGGGTTTGTTGGTGAAAACGGGCCTAAAGCTTTCGGTAAAATAGGTAGGTACTTACCGTCACTGCTTAAAACGTTCGCAATAGCCACCAACATGAAAATAATGAAACTTAATTTGAACATTTTAAATTAATTAATTTAATTGTGTTCTGATAAACTGCGAGGATGAAAAACATGTAGAACAACGAGTTGTTCGCAGTTTTATATTCAAGTTTGTTTGTAAAAGAATTGTTTTTCTGTTGCAGACTTGTTTAAGGGGAAGATGTATACTTACCTACTCATTTAAGATATGTTTATTGCGAATAATGTCCCGCCACAGTATAATGTTAAATAAACTGATTTTTATAGTATATTTTATTAAGACTTAACTTATAAGTACCTACCTACTGAATACTTCTCCTTAAAATTTGTTTGATCACGATCGACACCTAAATAAAGAAATTGACAAAAGGTTCACATTAAAATACGACGAATAAAGCCAAATTTCGATTTTACCTTGATGTTAATATATTTATGTATTTTCATCAGTTACAGAACGTATCTGCGGTAATCGACATTTGTCTAGTTTTCATTTGAATGTATGAGTTTTCCACAAGGTGGACCGACGACCTCATAAAGGTAGCAGGAAGGCGCTGGATGCAGGCCGCTATGCTACCAACTAGATTTTGCAACCAAGTTTGTTCCTCAACCCATGTATAATGTCACAACTTGTATTTTATGGTAATGCTCTACATGAAGGGAAAAAGACATTAATGATTAATTCCTTTTTATAAGTTTAAACAAGCAGGTCTTTTTCTTAACTCCTTATAGTGTCTGTTTGAAAGCATAGTATTAAAACAAGGACTTACTAACGCAGCTTAAAGTACTAAACGTGTCATAACAACTAATAGCCAACTTTATATATAATATTTATATATACTTTGGTAGCTTTGGTATAACCAAAAGCTTATTTGCTAAAAGTAGGTAAAGTAGGTTTTTCTTAAACAAAAAAAGTTTCTCGTCACTTGCTTAAGGCAAAACTTTTCACAAATTATTTTTCAGTCTGAAAAAATGATTTTTAAAAACAAATTGCATTGCTGTATTGACAGTTTTATCACCTAACCTGGTTCGCAATTTACTGTAAATATTCCCTGCCGCCGAAAAAGCCCTCTCGGCTTCAACACTAGTTAGTTTTATGGACATCATGTAGTTTTGAATAAAAGAGTTTGATAATGACCGGGTCCAGTTTGCAATCTCTACTAGGTACCAACCAGCAATTTATTATGGAAATCATTGGAGCAGGCTTGTCCATACCTGTCACTGATGGATAAGGAGACATCTGCCTAATGGTCGGTCCCAGCTGATAGGAGGGCCTTAAGAAATAAAACGCATCATTTTGGCTGTTGTTTTTGTAATAAATAGTTAAATAAAATCGATATAATTCTCATCCTAAATAATATCGATAAAACCATAAGTCATTTAAAAATCAAATCGATCATCTTTGTTCTGTTTTTTATTTTTTCTTTTTGTGTCAAATAAAGTTTTTCTTATTCTTATTCTTATTATCATTGGGCAGTTGACACTATAATAACAAGACACCACTTAGCAAATTTAGCATTACTAACCTAGCTTCCCTCTCTATTTTTCACACTTTACTGATTTAGCAAAAGTGAGAAAAATAGGGAATGGTGCGTTTTGACAGTTTGAAAAAAGTATGTCAATTGACTGTGCTGTCAAATACCCAATTGATTGATTGCGTCTCGTAATTTGTTGCCGTCACTCTCGCAAGCAGCTTGGCAGTCCTCTAGAGTGTTGTAACGGTTGTCGTTGCCTAAACATCCCCCGTAGATGAACGATTCGCATTTTCCACTGTCAGGATTGTAGCCGTAACTGAAAATAGAGGAAGAAAGTTATCTAAATCTACTATATAAAAATAAGTCGGGTTTTCCTCCCTGACGCTATAACTCCAGAACGCACGACACGAACCGATTTCCACGGTTTTGCATTCATTGGAAAGGTCTCGGGCTCCGTGAGGTTTATAGCAAAGAAAATTCGGGAAAAGGGGGTAAAACAGGATCCACGCGTACGAAGTCGCGGGCGGCCGCTAGTATAATATAAATGTATGTTACGGTAAAAGTGCCAAATTGAAAATTGTATTAATAACCGGTTATTATGAATAATTACCGACAGTCGTGGTAAAAGTGATAGATTAATCACATTTATCAGTGATTATTTATTAATGTGACCTTAGTACTAAGAAATATCATAAAAGAGAACACCGGCTCGTGTACAGCGCTCATGTATTTGATACAAAAATTCTCGCGTATTACATAAAAAAATTAAAAACTACATTTAAAAACATAATAATTGAAATTCATAATAATAATATCACTAATCATACACTTAGTTTTTATTAATATATTTTTATTTTACTATACACCACTACATTTCTATCACAGACAAAAAATCTGGGTAATGAGTTATTGATACTGATCCTATTTATGCAAAAAAAAGGTTAAATAAAGTTACTCAAAATTGTATCCCAAAATTGGTAATTTATGGACACATGCGTCGCTAGCACTTAACACTGGAAGCGTGGTCGAGGCGTGAGCGAGACAGACAGATCGGGGCAATGTGCGAGCGCGTACGACTACTCTTGACTCTAGCGAGCAGCGGAGTGCCCCAGCTGTGACGCGTAAAATACGGACTAAAGAAAATTTAATAAAAAAAATTACTTCATGAAAAATATTTTTCTTTTTTTACTTTAAAATTTTCCCACATTCTACATAACCTATTAAAAATTTTTCGGTGATAAAAATGTAGTGGTGTATATTTTTCTATACTAATGATCGAAACTCATAATCATTCGAATAAATAACTATAATATTCATAAATGTGATTTATTCCAATAATTTGGTATGCAGGTAGATGTTAATGACGTCGACATCCGCTAAGAAAGGATTTTACGAAACTCCACCCCTTAGGGGGTAAAACGGGATCCACGTATGCGAAATCGCGGGCGGGCGCTAGTTTATCAATATAGAGGGTGGAATTTTGTAATGCCACCTGGAGGGAAAGTACTCTTAATACTGTAGATAGAAAATTTCCTATGTTCGATTATTGACTAATGTAAAAAGGTTCTACAAAATTTTAAGAAAATAATAAATAATTTTATAATAAGGAAAATAAATACTTACACTTTGAACGAGCCTCTGCATAGTCCGGAGGCAAAAGGCGAGGTGCAGTCTGGGGCTGGGGCTGTGTAATAAAATACAAAACTTTTTTTTTCATCGAAACTTTTGGCGGGAAAGTGAAACGTCATGCACCTAATGCATAGAGCTATAAAGGATAGAGAAGGTAAGCTCTTATTGTATTTTGAAAAGAATTAAAACTAAAGTTCGCTACAGCTGCTGCATTATTTCTGTTGTCTAACCAAACATTAAAACATGCAGCGGTAGATCCGCTTGTTCTCAACGAGTCACCACACCCAAACCAAAACGAGTAATTGGGAAAAATATCCCATTTTAGTCATACTGTTACTCGTTCGAAGATTTGTTTACCTATCTTCCCAAAAGGTCACACACCTTTAATGTCAATAAATTCGTTAAAAAGAAACAGTGAACAAAATACCTATGTTAAAAGTTACCTATGCCAAATGTCAGAAAATATACTCGTATGTTACAGTGTGACCGGCAGGGAATATAAGTAAAACAAATAATGTCCTATCTAGTGTGACGCGTTGGGAATAAGCGGCGAAGTGCGTAGTTCATTTTATCGATGGTCTTTATGCCCGTTTTCACCAAACCCAAATTTTTAAGTGACCCCTATGAAAACAAAATTTATGTATGTGTTACCATAGGGGTCACTTAAAAATTAGGGATTGATGGTGAAAACGGGCCTAAAGCTTTTTCGGTAAAATAGATAATTACTTACCGTCACTGCTTAAAACGCTCGCAATGGCTACCAACATGACAATAATGAAACTTAGTTTGAACATTTTGAATGAATTAATTTAATTGTGTTCTGATAAACCGCGAGGATGAAAAACATGTAGAACAATGAGTTGTTCGCAGTTTTATATTCAAGTTTGTTTGTAAAAGAATTGTTTTTTTTCTGTTGCGTACTTGTTTAAGGGGAAGATGTATACTTACTTACCCATGTAAGATCTTTTTATTGTGATTAATGACGCAATAGAAATAGAAATAGAAATAGAATAATCTTTATTGCCCAAAACTGTGTACAATTTGTGCTGGTCACAATGCAAAAAAATAGTTACAACAGTGTTACCCATATCGGGCATGCAATAGTTAAAATACAGTAATAAAGTTAGAGTTTAATTATTTTTGGTACCAAAATATTCATTTAGACTATAAAAAACATTAATTGTTAACCATTTTTTAAGCTCAGANATCAGTATCGATCACTAATCACCCCCTGATAGTTATTTTGAAAATATATTTCATGTACAGAATTGACCTCTCTACAGATTTATTATAAGTATAGATTGAGGCTCTCTCATCGATATGAAAGTCGATTTTTAAATCCTTCAGAAAGGTAATTACGAAATTATTTTTTAAGAATATTCTTGAAAGAATATCACATCAACTCAAAGTTTTATTTGTGGCTTAAGATAAATAAGAAGCCCTTCACACAAGATGCCGAATAAATAAAATGCTGTATCCTCTTGACCGAAAAACTTTGAGTGCTTAAAATAAGGTTGAAAATGATTCCGGGAAAATTGTGAAAACTCCCAAAGTAACTCACACATAAAGAAAAATTTTCCATCGGAGAAAGTAAAACACAACATGTGTTGCGGACATCGTATCCCTTGAATTTCTGAATAGGGATGTGAATATAGCTTTTTTTATCCCAATATTTTATAAATTATAGGTGGACCGACTATCTGGTAAAGGTCGGGGGAAGAGCCTGGATGCGGGCAGCGCAGGACCGTTCATTGTGGAAAACCTTGGGGGAGGCCTTTGTCCAGCAGTGGACGTCATTTGGCTGAAACGAACGAACGAATTTTATAATAAACGATTTTCAAATAGTAAACGTATTTGTAAAAGAACGATTATGAAGGTTATATAAGTACAAAAAATATAATAACATCCAGTAATGAAAATTTAATGATACAAAATAAAAAAATATAATTGTATTCGGACTTTCAGTAGTACTTTTTGCTATAGAGTTTATGTGGAATGATAGGAG